GCGATTAACCGCTCGAAATCGCGGTTTTTATTCGCGATCAATCGCATGTATATTTCGATTAATATTCGCAAACCGAGGCCTGCCAGTCTAGACGTCAGAAGGCCTGAGGATCAGTCATAGGTCATAGCTCCCGCAAAATGGCCCGAAAATTATTCTCTAGCCCATTACCGAATACGAGAACGAATATGATATGGTCTCCGGATGAGTTTTTCGACAATAGGCTCAGCTCCTAGAATAGCTCGAGGAATATCATCTTCGGTCTCGGCGCACAGCACCTAACATTGAGATTTCACGTCCGAAGGCAGGTTGGATGTAGACCTGACAGCGGCGGAGCGTGCATCGACGTTTTCGTTGCCCAAGCGTTCGAAATCTAAACATCAACGATACTCTTTGCTCGTGCTGCGAGAGCCATCAAACGCTCCCGGCTTGATCATTGTCTTAGAGAGTACATCTTCTCTGAAATTCGTTGGAGGATCATGTGTGATTTCAGAAGAGTATTGAATAGAAAGAGTTGGGTACGGAATTGGTTTTTGAAAAGCTCAAATCAAGTGCAATGCATAACCTGTTTGAAGGTGAGTGGGTAGTAGGATAGATTCAGCTGCGCCGAACGACATTGGGGATACGGGATATCTATGGTCGAGGCTGAAGATTTTCCTCAAGGGTGGAATCTTCAGGTTCTTCAGAGTAAAAACACGACGAGCGCCCTCATCACGCATTTGAAGGACAAACACGGTATTTCGAAGGAAACTCCGAGTCCCGGAGCGTCGATGCAAACATATCTTCGACCGGATGCCGACTCTCTGGACGGTGACACCAATTCTTCATAATGGTCCCAGTGTAGTTCGGAGACAATTGTGGAAGAGGAGGAATCGCCTGAGACCCTCGAAGTGGCCTCCAGGAGCAATCTCTCGAAAAAAAAGAGACAGATCACTCTGGATGGGTTTTCCAATGGATCTGAGGGTCATCGTTCTCATGTGATGGGTCCTCCCAACATGAGAAAATTATTTGAGCTGTCCTCTCACCGAGAATCAAAGATTTCATCAAGAGAAAGACGGGAATTCGCAGGATTTTGACGTGAAACGTCTCTTTTTTTTTTACTGAGGGGTATATCCAACTAAACTTCGTCTTCGTGTAACGAAATCTTGTCCGCTTTTGACATCTAATAACTCTGCGAATGCGACACCAATTATGATGAAGTTTCCGCTGGTAGAATGGAAATTTACGGGAGAACAGCTGTGTATATTCCTCACGAGATTCTGGAGAATATGTTCCGCAAGATGAGCTCGAATCTGACCCCAATGAAGAGGTGTAGAAAACCGCATAAATAACTGATTTATTCAGTACAGGCTCTACCTGTCAGTGCGGCAAGACTCTCGTAGGCGAATCAATGTAGGTCTCGCCGATTACCGCCGGAATTTCCACAGTAGACTCTCGAGAAGCGATCGAAAATTGAGGATAAACTATCAAATCCCGTCCCCCAATCCCACCGCTGCGCTCTTTCCTATTATTGTATGCACCATCGCTCCCCCTTACTTCGTCCAGTGTGCGAGTCGCAGATCGGGTTCTGCAAATGATAGAGCAGCGACCGGCCCCAGAGAGAGAAATCTCTGAAGGGTCGCCGATACTCCAGACGGAACCGCGGTGTCACACGATGTTTTGAACGTGACCGTAGATTCAACGCGATCAGGGAGTAGCTGAAGTCATCTAGATCTAGAGGAATTTCTCTACACCACCTTCGAATGGGGCATTGAAATCCGGTTTCCAAGGGCAAGGGAGTTTCGGACCTGAACGAAACTGCGACAACGCCCGGAAAATTCAGCTTAGTATGCGAAGAAATCGTGATAAAAAGCAGACTTATCCAGAGCAACAGTATCCCGCCGTCGCTCGATGAAATACTTGAATCGAACTTTGAGGGAATCGGGTATCAGGTGCATGGGAAAACGAAGCGCATTCTATTTTTCGATCGATCGAGATCGATCACGAGACGGGGGAGCGGAAAGTCAGTGTCACCCCTTCCCCCTCTGTAAACGGCGTGCTCTGCGAGTCCGTCACGCTGAAGTTTATGGCAGCGGCCAGAAGCGAGTGTGCTATTGACATGAAACTTAGGTTGCAGAGAATTGTTAACGACTCTGGAGGACAAGATAATAACGTTGTTTTCGAACATGGTAGACGGACCGATGGCGAGGCGCCCGAGCTCAGCGGCGAAGCAGGAGGCGAGTGGGCATATAATACGCAAAATGGGCAGGAAAGCTCGAGATATTCGGGAGGAGAAGCTGCCCGGCGAGAAGGGGAGGATCACGGACGACCGTGCTTCGCGATGGCGCCAAGGAACGGGGCGCCCCAGTCGGCCGCAGGTCGGTTGGTTCCTCATAGCTTTCAGTAAACCCACTCCTTACACAAGCGACATGGCTCGGCAAGGTCACAACATCTGGTCTTCGTAGATATCTCTTAGTAGCGTCTGCCTCAAACCCTCCGAATCATTCGACTCCACCATCTTCGGCACTGTTTCGAGATTCGGAATGGCGCTCGCGGCGTCGGGAGGTGTGCTCTCGAGCATGGATATCGAGAGCCTCAATGTCTGATTAGAGAATAGAGGAAAGAAGTTCACTATGGCGAGTTTTACTCAATCGAGCACGGACTGTTCCTCGATCATGGAAACCCCGTCCAGGTTCCATGTAGAGTCGGGGGGACACCGATTGAATTAAGAAAACTTCACATCGGACGAAACCGAATCATGTGTACCTCGATATACGAATCAATACCTAAGGATCCTTTGGGGCAATCGAGAATGTGTTTCACGTCTAAACAAAAATGTCTCTGACACTACCTGCCAGGGGCTTTTTTTCTCTCCGCCACCGCCAAAAGTGAAGTTCCCCGCTCAAGCCTAGAAGCGGTGCGGCGCACGACGCGGTCGACAAGGCCGATTGCCTCGCCTCTTCACCCCGAGGCAAACAAGCCGCTTGGGGAGGGGGGTTCCCAGAATTCGTCTCCCTCATAATCCGATTCGAGTAGCCCCGCTGCGAACTTTTTCAATATCCGACGCCGTAGCGTGTCGGAGCGCCGCGAGAGATTTTCCGTTATCCTCTAAGGAGAAGACTTCCGATTATCTTCAATGCAAAAGGGGGGGAAGGGTGGCACTCCTGAAGTAGTGCCGCCCCGGGCGGACAGTCCCTTGCGCCCTCGCTGCTGAATCCCGCGACTTCATCGCCGAATGAGTGAGAGCAACGCTGCAAGATCGGGAAGATGCATACCGTGATTCTTCCTAGTGAAGGGCATGCCCCTCCATTGTTCTGAAGCTCCAGATAGGCGCCCGTAAGATGGAAGGGCCTTTATATTGCAGCACGCTTCCTGAACGAGGGGATCCATGGACGGGAACAGAAATCACAGGCTTACATTGAGTTGCACCCTACCCCACATTGCAATAGATCCAACGACTTCTAGTGGCCTCTCGACCTGATGTTTGCCTCGGGATCGAGAACGACGGTGGACGCTGGACGGTGCCCCTAAATCGGAAGCTTTGAGGGTACCCGTCAATCGGAGCATGCCCATACGTGGAATCTATCTGATGGGTGCCCGTGAGCGTGCCTCTGAACCACGGTAGTCAGCTACCCAGGCTGACACGTCGGTGGAGGAATTCTCCTCCCGAGCAATCGGATTTTCGCGAAATTTGAGGAGTTCCAGGACTCCGGATTCGATCCAGCATCCGATTTACGGCCACAGAAAAATAAGCTCGCGACTCACACCTATCGGAAAGTGAAGAAAGGGGAACAGTGACGCCATACATAGAGTCATATCACCAATCTGCTTCCGTAAAGAATTCAGTTCTGCTGGAGATTTCGATAAGACGGGTATCGGCTAACATAAGAACCATACCACATTGGTGAGATCGTGTGATTACCATTGGTGGCCGCCCGCAAGTTATCTACCACCTGACCACGAATGCGACCTCGCTCTTCAGCGGGATTCTGATCGCACCCACCGCCCGCGCAATTTTCTTCTTACGCCAACTTGCCCAGAAGACCGTAGTGGCCGGAGCTAGCTAGTCGTCGGTCCTTTCTCTTGGCTTCGCGGACGCTATCACTATTCAGCCCGCTTTATCAGTCTGCTCGGAAACCACTATTCGGTATGCGTTGATTCAGTCCCGCAATCACTATGAGAGTCAGTTACGTCGACGCGGACTCGCGCATGCGTATCCTGATCGGGATACGGATCGTGTCCCGATCTCCAGTGCTGTGTCCATCGTTCTCCCAGGGCTGGGATTTGGCCAAGGCATTCGATGGTCCAGAAGCTTAGCCTATCCAATTCGTGAACTGATCCAGTCCGAATGACGTCTCTTGCAAGCTTCTCTTCCAGTTCCTGCTGGCTGTTGCCGTTTGACTGTTGCTCTCGCCAGCACTGTCGGTTATTCGAGCGACCTCAGACACCGAGATGATTATGGAAACTTCGAATTCTAATACGACCTCAAGGATGGCTACGGAAACGTGAACGGACAACACGAGAAGGGAGGCCACCACGGTGTCGTCGGGTCCTACTACCTCGGAGAGATCGATGGGAGACACTGCGGCGTCGAATATCAAGCCGATGAACTCGGTCTCAGAGTTGCCGTAAAGACCGAAGAAGGCGAAACCGAGAGCAGCGAGCCCGCCTCCGCTCTCTGCTGCTTCGCATTCGGGGAGCACATCCCCTCCGGAGCCATTCATGCTGCCCACGGAGGATACGGTCACCTCGGGTACTGAGCTCGGAAACATGCACTTCCTCGATTTCCTGGGTCCGTCCCAAGGATACGACTTGGTGCTTGTTCCCGACCTAGTCAAAGAGATCTTCGCGTGAAAGCCTGCCATCCTCGTGGCAGGAGCCCACGATTGTTCCTTCTGAAATCTTCATTTCTGTAAATAATTTACATATCCTCAATCCAATCCCCGGGAACACGAACACCTCACTATCGATGAGCGAGCTAATACGGATAGGTAGCTTGAACGATGTATATACGAAACAACTCTTCATTCATTAATTAATGCGAATAGTGCCAGAAGGAGTCTGGCCTCTGAAGTCACGGTCGCTGCCGGTATTAGTCCCGATGTGTTCCTTCCGTCGTCGACCGACGCTCGAATATCGCCGCCGAAAATTTCGCATTGAGATAGAAACACGCGACAATCGTGCACAACAGCGTCCCTGACCACGATAACCTGGAATCATCAGGGATTCTGTAGCAAACCGCTTAGAATTTACCATCGGGCATATCCCGAGGTCCAACAAGGCGGAGAAGTGGATTCGTAGGCTCCGATACTCTCTGCTCCACAGACCTTTTTGGTCAAGTTTTCGATTAGACTCAGGAAACATCTTTTTACGTAGAACCACGTGTCTGGCGAGAGCTTCTTCGACACCGGCTCTATGCTCTTGATGATCCGCGACACACCAAAATCGTAATTTCCCTGAAAAATCGCAATGCGTCACACAGAATGAGCCGACCGTGCGACGGGAGGGGCTGTATCTCGGAGATGAGGGGGACGTTCCTGATTAATTCGATCATTGGATACAGCCGACAAGATGCTCAGCGCGGAGCGAAGCATCGGAACGGAGCGAGAGTGCAATCATTGTTAGACAGAACCCGCTTAAGGAGTATGGACTTGAAGTACTAACCTTCGCGCAATAAAGGGTTCCGATCACCAAATTCACTATGCAGAGGTGGTAAACTTTGTCTTCGGGCTTTGTGTAAGCGAGTTGCTCCTCCGCTTGCTCGATCCGACGCATGAGTTCCTCGGCCTAGGGAAAGTTTTCGATTAGCTATCCGCAATCGGAGACGGAATATCGTCCGAGCCCGCTTTGCTTACCTCTTCGTTGCGACTCGTCATTATGTAGCAGACGCAAAGGTTTGCGAGAACGACAGCGGGCACATCGAGTATGTTCGGTGCGTTCTTTAGCAACGATTCGTAGAAGGAGGACGCTTCCTTGAATCGATCGCCTTGCATGAAGAGGACGTGCGCCACATTGGTTTTCCACGATTCCTGCTCTCTGTGTTGGGTGCCGGGGGGGGAAGAGCTCCCATTAGATCGGTACGCAAAAAACTTCACCAATACGCATCAACTTAGGTCTCATCTGGCCTTCGCGACGCCGACCCGACAGGTCCCCCCGCGAGCATTTTGAAGACAGAGAACTTACCCGCAGAATTCGAGAGATTTCTTGCACAGCTTTTCAACTTGGACGTAATTCTCCAATTCCCAATGGATCTTAGCTTGCGCCATCAGTACCGGCATATATTTCTTCAATTCCTCTTCATACTCCGCGTCTGCGCTGCTTTTCTTCAACCTGGAGAATGGTTCCAGATTTACTCCGTGTGCTGTGTAAGGCCCAAGTCGAGAATGTGAAGTTGCAGGGGAACCTCCACAAAACATTCATAGTCCCTGAAGTAGGCAATTACTGTCCCATTTCTGTTCTTGTCGACTACCTTCTGAAAACTTCGGTGTGACGATGGGCCATCTCGTCCAGTTTCTGGTAAGCCTCATCGGGGGAGGTTTGGCACGCGATGACGGCTTCGAGGAACGACTGCGGAATTCTCCAATATGAGCAAACGACAGTCGATTTGAAATCTGGGCTCGATAGAGTGCCCTTCTAGAAGGCACTTGGCTGATGTACCTACAAGATCATCATCTGAATAACGAACCTGAACGTGAGAGGACAGCATGAGATGGACGATGTCAGCATGCTCCGCGAGGAGATCCGCTGCTAGGTCATAATGCTCGAAGCGACAGTACAATAGGACGAGATTCGCGAAAGCTTCCTGAGGACCTGTGCCTTGTTCGACCAGGAAGTGTAATTTATCGAAACTCGAAGAAGGAGCTGACTCGACTTGGATCAATGCTTGATTGTGCAGACTGACGGCATCGATGTCTTGTTGAGCTCGGGGTGGCATGTCGGTGAGCGCTTCTTTCGCCGCCGACAAGTTCTTCAGCTCAAACTCGATAGCGGCTTTCAGGTTGAACGCTTCGATGAGGGCTGTGTCGCGGAGGACGGCCGAGTTTCGAACGTGAACCTCGATTCCCTCTGTGGCCATGCCAACTGAGAGCTCTGGATGCTCTCGGATTCCTCGTTCGATGATGTCGGCAATGTGTTTCAATGCCTGCGGCGCGAAGGTTTTAGAGATGAACTTTCGCCTCACTCAGGCTCATGAATCTACATGGGGAGGGAGAGTGCCTGTTCTCGGAGGATGCCCCGAAGAAGGGATCGAGTTGTGAAGACATTCCCATACCTGTGGATATTGCTTGAGTTTGTAACAACATAGAGCCGCCGCATAATACAGCTGCGCGCTGTATCCTTGAGCCTGCATGGCGCTCTGTAGTTTCTTCTTCGCGTCCTCGAATTTGTTCTCTTTGAAGAGGATGCAGGCGTGGTTCACCTGCATTCGACCCATTGTCCACAGAATGAGACACAAGCGAGGTCTCCGTGTTTGGATCACTCCGAACATTACTTCATCAAGCGATTTACATATTCCTCGAGAGAGTAATTATTGTCTCCGTTCCTCTTGGGTACGGGCTTTACCTGAACATCGGGGTCCCCTTGATCCTCTGCTGCTTGGAGTTCCTTGGATGCAGAAGATAAGTCGTCTCTCGAATACTCGATGGCGGCCCGGAGTTTATGCAGAGATAGCTGGAACCGCTAATCGGTTTAGCATCCGTAAATTGAATCCCTCTTAAATGTCTTGCGGGAAACCAAATGATCTGGTCGTCTCCTATCACCTTGAAGTCTGTCAAGTCCGCCATTTGCAAGGTGACCTTGTAAGCTTCATCGAAGAGACTCGCCTGATAGAGCGAGTTCGCATAGTGCAACCGGTACTGATTGGCGGTTTTCTCATCGATACTCAACATGGCCAGCTGCTCATAACAGTTTGCCGCGTTGACGTAATCCTGGAGTCTGCAAGAGCGGATTCCCAGCGGAAAATCAGGACTTCGTAACCCGAGAGGAACCGCTCGGAAATAATTAAGGCATTCATCTTCGTTTGTGGTTGCCACTGGCGTACCTGTAGTGCGCGTAGGCGAGCAGCGAGAGCGCAGGTCGTGAACCGGGATTCGTTTGTAACTGATCTCCCAAAAAACCAACAGCTTCCTCGTAGCGGCTGTCTCTGAACAATTCGTATACAACACGAGTGTATCCCATTTTGACAATCGAGCTTCTTCCAGACAATGATATCCCCACCGACGGCTGGGAGCTCCTCTTTGTGGCGGAACCGTGGCAGTTGCCATGGAGATCGTTGATGCGGTCGAGGAGCGCAACTCCGAATCACTCATGCCTAGGGGTTTCATTCATCGAAACATACCGCAGAAATTCGCGCTCCACCATACGTGCACATACTCCCGGGGGATATGCTCAATACACCTACAGTACATCTATGTCCGAGAAAGCCTCCACGGAGACTTCTGAGGGATCCTCTCGAGTGGTACCCGGTTGGGATCATGCGCGGGTGAGCCATCACATGGCCGCAGCCTCAGGGGGACGCTCCCCGCTCCTTTTTTTTACAGTATCCGAGGTTGCCAATATGTTTCGTCCAGTGGCAGACGATAATTATTTGAGAAAAAAATGGTAGTCGTCGGCTACTGATCATCCAGATCGATGTTTGAGGGTCTGGCCGTAGCCGTGTTGGGAAGCCATCCGTACGCGTACATGAGTCGAAGGAGTTGTACGGAGATAAACGAGCATCATGCAATGCCTGGAGAGAAATCTGGCCAGCGTAGGAGAATTCGAATATAGTTTTTATAATTCGTTTTTATTATCATTATCAGTACGTTTTGAGAAATTTCTCTTCGGGCCGACAGTCCGTTGGCCGCGCGTTTCTGTGGAGTGTCTCACCCTCTCTCACGTTCACGCGTTCGCATTCGACTATTTAACCCGAACGACTCGATGGTTGAAGACACAGACCCACCCACCCGGAGTGAAAATGAATGTGAGAATCTCGTCCCTCATCGAGCACCATCGGGATTCGCTCGGATTCTCGGAAACTATTGCCCTTAGCAAAATGCTCCCTTCTGCCATTCACCGGACGTGATCCTCTTTTGCAGATCCTCTTGATCGCTGCTTGTCTCTTCTCTGTAGCCTGTGCTGGCCATTACGGAGGCCAAGGAGGGCAATCGACCGCCTACAGACATCAGGACGACCACGGAAACTACGATTTCAAGTACGATATCAAGGACGGCTACGGAAACGTCAACGGACGTCAAGAGAAGGGAGGATACCACGGTGTTGTCGGATCCTACTACCTCGGTGAAATCGACGGCAGACACCGTAGCGTCCAGTACCAAGCCGATAAGCTTGGCTTCCGAGCTTCCGTCAAGACCAACGAGCCTGGAACCAAGAGCAGCGAGCCCGCGTTCGCTCCTTACCACTCCGACTTCGGAAACTCCATTCCCTCGGGAGCCATTCATGCCGCACACTCAGGATACCATGGATATTAAAAGGTTATCTCTTAGTCTTCTCTGTAAATAAAGTGTCTATCCCTCTGAAAGCGTGCGGGAGATCTTTCTCGTCTGTTTGGCATTATATAAATCGCGAGCCTCGCTCGCTACGAAGCTGAAAAAAATTGCCGCCAACGCGATAGGGTGGAGCAGAACGGGAACCACCACCGAATTAACAAGGGCTCGCGCGGCCACCAAAAATCAGTGAGTTATACAGTCGGTGGGAGCTTATTGTCTTGCAGTGACGAAACTCGCGTTTTTAGGGAAATTAGAAAACGAGAAAATTCCTGCCGGAAATATTCGAAAAGCTCGATTGGCGGGGGATCAAATCACAGCCAAGGTGTACCGACATTAGGTTTCGTTTCTCAGGGAGCTTTCGACATTTTAACAAAATATCTAACATTTGGACGTCGGTCTGCTTTCGATTCTCGCCGTAGTAGTTGCGATTGTTGTCCCGGCCGCATCCTCCAGAGGGAACATTTACGTGCTGACTGCGAAAGAGATGCGGAAATACTCGGAACAAGCGCATCATGAAGTCTAATGAAGGCGTTTCCGCCTCTTATAAATCATGATGAAGGACTGCCGACACTCATTCTATCGGAACGGTGCTCTTCACGCTGGAGTGCTCCCTCAAGTTCCATTTTCGCAGCGGGGGAAAATGCTGGTCGCACATCTTCCAAAGGCTATAGCTTTGCGACAAGGAAGATACCCGGATCCGGATATCGCTACCGAGCGCTTAACTGAAGAATGATTGAATCTAGGTGCGATGCAGAGTTCATGAGCACAGCTCGAGAGAAGGACAAAGTTGCGGAATCCGCATCGGGAACATAAATCCATACGGAATAATTTTACGTGAAGAAAACCTCCATTGGAGGTCACTACGGATGTCTTCTAGAGTCTAGGGAAAGATTCGGGATTCAATTTCGAATCTGCAAGTTCCAGAACCCGCTAAGGGAAGGAACAGGCGGCTCTGGTACCCTCGATCATGTCTCGATCATGCATCGATACGTTTCGCTGAGCTCGCTGAAGAGATTTCAAAAGATCGGAGGAACTCGCAGGTCACTAGCCCCCACCAATTCATGAGTCATGCCAGACATAAGGTCCCTTCCTGGAACGAAAGCTTCACTCGGTTCGACGTCAACATGATCGATTCCCGGGCCTCGCGACCATCGGTTCGACGAGGACTCCATCCTACTAAGCAAGCGCGGTTTGCTGCACTAAGCGCTACATAAATTCTGGGGTGCGGAGAGGCTCTATCTCTCCCTCGAGGACCTCTGAGTATTGTCAATTTGTCAGTTCTCTTCCGCGGGAATTTCTGTGGCGAAGCACCCGGACCGCTGGCGATACAATGGCTTCAGAGAGCCGATGCCCTCCTGCGGTTTTTACGCAGAACCGAAGTCTGTATGAGCAAATTGTCGAGCTGCTCCTGCTGGTCGAATGGTCGAAATCCTCCACCGGTGGTGTAATTTGAGAGCAGCGATAGTTCTCTGATCGCTCCAGAAGGTCCTGAGGTCTCGCCGCTCTCTGGAAAGCCAGCTTCCCCCCCCGGTACGTCATTTCGTGATCAAAGTGGGATTGAGCTTGCTTTTATTCCCTTCTTGAAAAATACGCAAATCGTGGTTGCTCGATCTACGAATCGAAGGGCGACTGACAGGAGACGGCAATCTCGGATGCCTCTCCTGTAACGCTCGTCAAGTGTCGATATTTCCGCAATGCTCCGACCTTGGGACCATTCATTTCCCCCTCTGTCCCTTCCCGTCCCTTCCATTCGGGACTCTCCGTCCTGGAATCGATGAGCCGTAGGATAGACCTCCATAGGAGCGAAGTCTTCCCTTGGGGAGCGCGCACCTTCGCGATTCACGCTGCCCTGACATTAATCGACATGAAAAGTTACTTGATGAGGAGATTCCGCTTCCGAGCTCGATGCTTAAGAAAATACCAAGAGGTCAAGACTTCCAGCTCGAGGCACCTCGAGAGAGAGTTGCGGCGCCGTGGCGATCGCCTTCCTATCGTGGCGAGCCGTACGCGCCGCACTCCGGTGGGGAGAAGTCGCTCGCCGAGCGGGAGCGCCTTATCCGACAGAGCTTGGAGCTAAAAGACGGAGCCAACCCTTTCTCTCAACCGGTCCAATGTACTTATTTTATCTGTGACTCCCGGGATTATGAAGTCTGGAATTGGCGGAGCAAGTGTGTCATCTTACAGTTGTATGTAGGACACGCTCACCTCCTGTACCCTCGAGAGTGAAGGGAGAGTCGAATCTTACGTGTCCGTGGAAGCTTGGGCGTTACATCGTCCGGTACAGTCTTCCCCAGCCATAGCATCCCTCGGTGCTCACGGCATTTGCAGCTGAGATAATTTTTCACTATGGTGATTGCTCCGGAAAATGCCTCTTTGACGCCGATAGATCAGGTGCTCAGGGACGTACCCTGCGGTGGCCCTCTGAGTGAATATCGGAAGAAGGCTTCCTTCGACTGGAAACGCTTGAAAGTACTGCTTGAAAGTGAGTATCACTATCCTTTGGGGAATCCATGTCGCGCGCGACCTCTAGTGACGTGTCATGCGAAGTAGATGGTTCCAGATCGGAGGCCATCCGGCGTGGAAACCCATTATCGAATCACAAGTATGGTCGGAAGGCTATTTGGGTCGTAATCGAAGCCTGAACACGAACCCCTTCCACAGGTGAAGCAATCGTACGTTTGAAGGCGAAAGTATACGATCGTCTCGAGCAAGATCCGCTGTTCACGAAGACGCCGGGAGAGGATCGCAGCGATCTGCTCGAGAAACGGCGCAAAACTTTCATGCAGTTGAAGCGCCTCGTAGAATATCGTTTCTTCACCGAAGAGGAGTTCTTCGAAAACCCTACCCTGTCAGCCGCTCTGAATAACTGCATTGGATCGCTGGATTGGTCGCTATGCTTGAAAAAAGTCCTGGCCTTCGACATGTGTATCGGTGCCGTGCGCGGCCTCGGAACTCAGCGACACTTTGCATTCGTTGAGGACCTCATGAAATTCGGAGCCATTGGATGCTTCGCACTGACCGAGCTCAGCCATGGCACAAACACCCGAGCGATGAGAACTGAGGCCCGATACGATGCGGAAACGGCGGAGTTCGTCCTCCACACTCCAGATATCGAGGCTGCGAAAGTTTGGTCCGGGAACCTCGGACAGACCGCCACGGACGCCATCGTTTTCGCCCAGCTCTACACTGCCGACAAGGTTTGTCACGGACTCCACGGATTTCTCGTGCCCATTAGGGACCGGAAGACTCTGGTGGCGTTCCCAGGAGTCACTGTCGGAGACATGGGACCAAAGATAGGCCTGAACGGAGTCGACAATGGCTTCGTAATGTTCGATCGGTATCGCATCGCTCGGGAGTGCCTCCTCAACCGTACCGGAGACGTCACCAAGGACGGTGAATACGTCTCGGCTGTGAAAAACTCCTCTAAAAGATTCGGAATGACTCTGGGATCGCTCTCGATGGGACGCGTGGCAATCGTCGGCATGAGCACCAGCAACCTCATCAAAGCCGCGGTCATAGCGACGAGGTATGTTTGCGCCATTCCTGCAAGTCATCGCTTCTCCTGATACGGATCCACAACGGGATTAGATGCCAAACGGGATTGCGATGTAATATTTTCACCTCCTACAGGTACTCGGCCGTCCGGAGACAGTTCGGCGTCGAAAACTCCAAAGACGAGCTGCCGGTTTTGGAATATCAACTGCAACAATGGCGTGTCATGCCGTATCTATGCGCGGCGGTCATCATGGACTACTACGCTTTGGCACTGAATAGGGAGTTTATAAATTTCCATATTAGCTCGCTCTTCGGGGAACGCTCTGCTGGTCGAACAGAACGAGGTGTCGAGCTACATATTGTATCGTGTGCCGCCAAGTGCTTCACTTCGTGGCTGGCGCGAGATGCATTGCAGATGGCTCGTGAGGCCTGCGGAGGGCACGGTTATTTGGAGGCCGCTGGCATAGGAGAAACCAAGAACGACCATGACGCTAATTGCACATACGAAGGAGACAACAATGTGCTCTTGCAACAGACCAGCAACGTAATTCTCGCGTCGGTCGACGGCTCGAAAAGCTCGCTCCTCGAAATGCCGTCATTACAGTTCTTGAAGGACCGGAAACAAATCCTCGCGCAGTCGCGCTCGAGACCAAGCACGGCTGACTTCTCAGTCAAGGAAGTCATAGAAATGTATCAATGGCTGATTTGCAGCCTTTTGGAGCGATGGCAGAAAGCGTTGAAGCTCGCTGAAGATGGAAGAGACCCGTTCCATGCGAAGAACAACACGCAGGTTTTCTTAGCCAGAGAGCTATCCTTGGCCTTCATTGAGGTGAGTGGTCCATTTCAGATGTATACGTCTGACAATGGGTAATTGGAAATGATTTTAACCGATTTTCTCGTTCCTAGATGGTCATCATCGAACGATTCGATCAGATGGCGGAGGAATCGCCTACAGAGCATGTACCCAGAGAGCTTCTCACGAAAATCACCCTCTTATTCGCTCTTTGGTCGATCGAGAAACGTTCGAGCGACCTGTTTTTCGGTGGACCCGAACTGAGCTCATCGATACGCCGCCAACTCCTGGATCTTTGCGCGCAGCTCAGACACGAGGCGGTCGCGCTGGCTGACGCGATTGCCCCACCGGATTTCGCTTTGAATTCTGTACTGGGTCATTCTGATGGTTTAGTTTACAAACGTTTGATGCTGAGTTTTTCGCAAGGAAATAGTACTGGACGCGTCGACTGGTGGACCGAGTTCCTGAACAAACCTCGCGTGGCCTCGAGACTGTGAAATCGTCGAATGCATCCGGCCCGCTCCCAGAATTTGCCCGTTGTATGTATAGTTATACTAATACGTTCATTTATGTCATCATAGTGTATTTGTTTCAATGATAAAATAACATGCTCGACTCATGATCGAGGGTGGAAAGCTTGTTCGAGATATTCCTAGAGTGTCTTGCTTCGAGAGCACCTCACCGATCGCAACGGAAATCCCTCCGCGAGATTCTACGATCTACGTGGGAATGTCCTCTTTGCGCTGCTCCCTCTCTCTTAAGATGTAGTTCGAATAGTATCACCCGTGACTATTCTCAACTAGCTCGGAGCTTCATCTCTTTCTTTCAATTTTCAACGAATTCTACTTCGAGTCAGCTGTTCGCACAAAATCGTTTTCTATTGGCCGAATATGTGTGCCTCGGCATCTGGCGTTTCTTAAAGCCATTTTTTGTCACTCTCGGGAACGTAGGCTGCTCTCATTGATTAGTCGAAGATGATCTTTTCATTGCCCTCCTTTCGTGATTCACCTTTCCAGTACCTTCGGTGCCGTTTACTCCACCACGACCGAGGCTTTTCTCGAGATATCCGAAACAGATACAAGAGAAAGCGAGGAAAACTCAGATGAGACCGAGCATGACTCAGATGGTAACTCGCGCGCGGTGGTTCACTGGCTTGGGGCTTTTCTGATGTAGTTTCACCTCCTCTAGACCTACTAGACGCGGACGACGAGAAAGCGGCCCGAATCCCAATTCATGCTTGCCTCGGGCAGCTTCCCGATCGTTTTCCGTGGAACACTCTTGACATTGCGCCGAGGGTTTCGAACGGTACGAGAGAAGGAGTTTCCTGCATCAAATAATAAGCAGTGATGAGAAATTGATCCTGTACGACAATCCGGTGCGGAAAGCAGCTTGGGTCAGCCCAGGAGAGCCCGGTCCAACGGTCCACAGGCCACACAGGTTCGGTTAAAAGTTGATGCTGTGTGTCTGGTGGGATATGCGAGGAGCAATTTACTTTGAACTTGTACAGCCGGGTGAAACATTTGATTCGGCTCGCTATCAAGAGCAGCTGATCAATTTGGCACAAGCGCTAGCCTAGAAGAGGCCGAATACGAAGACCCGGAAACGAAAATTGCTCCTACCTCCTGCTCCATGATGATGCAGCTGCGCACAAGGCGAGATCGACCCAGGAAACGCTGGCTGTGAGCTGAAGTTGGAACAGCTACCCCACCCCCATTCTCTCCAGACTTGGCTCCGTCAAACTACCACTTGTTCGCGACGATGGGCCACGCACTGAAAAACCAACACTTCGCGAACTCCGACGATGTGAAAAATTGAAATGAAAAAATTGATGTGAAAACAAGTGTGTCGCTAGCGACGGCATATACTTCGAATAAACTCTGTCGATTTGCTTTTCCAGTAAATGAATGCTTCGAAAAAAAATTATCGTCCGGTTTCATATGCATACACCTGGTATCATGTCCCTGTTGATTCTTGCGGAGAGACCGATCGGCGGATAAGCTAGAGCTCCGAGAGGTATACCGTATTTATTCTAATAGAGTGGCATTCCGTTCTATTTTTCGATGGAGCCTACCCGTGTTTTTTCCAAAAATTAGTATTCAAACGATCTCTGCCTTCACTTACGATGAATCGTTTTGTGTACCCTTGATATCTTTGCGGAATCTAACAATTTATATCACCTTACCCGAAGTTATTTTTCCCTGCCGTTCCATTAGAGCATGCCGTACTATTGGAGCATGCCGCTCTATTTTCCGGAATCTCATACGGTCGCCGTTCTATTGGAGCATGCCAGTAATTGGAGCATGCCATTCTATTAGAATAAATACGGTACTTTGTGAATTTCTCTCTCACTGGCCCTGCATTATTCCGCGAAGGCTCGCCTCGATTGGGAGCTTTTCAGCCCTCGAATATTACAAATATTCCGATATGCGGGTCGAGAAATCGCTATGTGATGAGCGGTGCTAGGGGATCGAGCTCCGTCTCAGTCAGCGGTATCACGTCAGAGCGATGGACGCTGTGAAACTGTGAAATAAAGATGCTTCGAACGACTCCTGCCTTGAATTTGCTCTGGAGGAAGAATTTCGACTTCCCCAGAAAAAATGTCCAACAACTCTAAGCATGCACCATCGGAAATCAGCCTGGTCGAAATACGGCACATCGCACTCCCGCGCGGACCCATTGTTCGTCATGGAATCATTATCATTCCCGCCACAGCCGGCATCGCGGGAAGTCGCTAAAGATCTCCAAGTGCACAATGCTTGGCCTCCACTCCCCGTCTCGGCCTAGCAGAATAATGGAAGAAGGAGGGGCGGCGGACGACGACGAGGAGAGGAGCACCCAAGCCGAATTTCATGTTTAGGGTAGGGGCAACGGAGTTCAGCAGTAGACTTTGTTTACAAACATCGTCGCTTGTTTCTCACTTCACTCACTGCTGTCTGCTGTCTGGAGACTACAGCAGAACGCAGAACTACTACCTACTACAGCAGCAGCCGCATGTTTCTGTTTGTGTCGAATCAGCATCACCCAGTTTGACCCTCGACGACGACGACGACCAGTGCCGTGTGTGAGACACTCACTCAACCGAGAAGACACGAGACACATGCCAGAAAGTAATACCGGTTTCAGTACGGGATGAACGCAATCGAATGTTGATTGACCGAGAGGAAGAGTTCACGTGCTATCATTCTAATTGCTCGAGTTGCAGCGAGGCATGATTGCACTGAGAGCTCTGAGAAGCACTAGATCAATAGCATTTAGGAGAAGAACTCGTTGGGACAAAGTCGCCGGTTCCTTTCTAAATCATCCTTCATCGTCTTTAGCTGCGAAGATGGCATCGAACATTTCGGATCAAATCTTGAGCACACACGATGTTGTCAAGAGTGAGTCAGATCAGATGCTCTACCGTGGACTAACGCTCAAGAACGGTCTCAGAGTCCTCCTAGTGTCGGACAGCACCACTGACAAATCCGCGGCCGCCCTCGCTGTTCAAGTTGGGTCTCTGACGGATCCACGGAACATCCCTGGACTCGCGCACTTCTGTGAACATATGCTATTTCTCGGCACCAAGAAATACCCCGCGGAAAATCACTATCACGCATTCCTGTCAAACCACGGAGGTGCGCTCAACGCCTATACCGCCCTCGATCACACCTGTTACTATTTCGACGTGACGCCGGAGAACTTCCGAGAGGCGAGCGACATATTCGCTCAGTTTTTCCTCGAGCCTCTCTTCACCCAGAGTTGCACAGATCGGGAGCTACTCGCTGTCGACAATGAACACCAGAAGAATATCAAGCAGGACTTGTGGAGGATGTGGAGGCTCCAGGGTGCGACGAGCGATGCCGAGCACGACTTCAGTAAGTTCGGCACCGGTTCGAAGGAAACTCTGCATGATATACCCTTGAAGGAGGGGATTGACGTCCGACAGGCGCTGCTGGACTTCCACTCCGAATACTACTCATCGAACATCATGGTCGTCTGCCTGTACGGAAAGGAGACCTTGGAGGATCTGACAGAAATGGCGGTGACTCTATTCGGAGGAGTGAAGGACAAGGCTATCGAAGCCCCTTCATGGCCGAAACATCCCTTTGGAGAGGCGCAACTGAGAAAACAGATCAAAATCGTACCTGTGAAAGATTCTCGGCAAATGATGGTAGTTTTCCCCATGCCCGACATGCGGAAAGAGTACAGAAGTAGCCCGAGTCATTACCTGAGCCATCTAGTCGGTCACGAAGGCGAGGGCAGCTTGCTATCTTATCTCAAGAACAAGGGATGGGTCAATTCGCTGTCTGGGGGAGAAGGATCCGGGGCACGCGGATTCAGCTTCTTCACCATATCTATGTTAATTTCTCCCGAGGGTCTCGAGCACGCAGACGAAATCGTAACCGCGATCTTCCAGTACCTTGAGCTGCTGCGACAGGAGGGTCCCCAGCAATGGATTTTCGAGGAAGTTCAGAAAGTCGGCGAGTTGCACTTCCGATTCAAATCGAAGGAGAGTCCAATCAGATATGCATCTGCCATCACTGAGTCAATGCAACTTTTCGATTGGAAAGACACTTTATCTGGCGCTTATATCGTCCAAGATTACAAGCCGGAATTGATCAAGGAGCTGATGACTTATCTGACCCCGGACAAAATTAGGATCGGGCTCGTCTCTCAAAACTTCAAAGGCAAGACCGATCTCGTTGAGAAGTACTATCACACCGAGTACTGCATCGAAGACATCCCCGATGAGAAGATAGAAGCGTGGAAAAAAGTTTCTCTCAACGAGAACCTCCACCTGCCGCGTAAGAACGAGTTCATCTCAACTAATTTGGTCCTGGCCCAAGAGGAGCCCGAATACACCTCGAACCCGAACCTGCTCGTCAGCGAATCGAGCAATCGCCTCTGGTTCATGCAGGACAAGGAGTTCAAACTCCCAACGAGCATCGCTCAATTCGAATTGCGGAATCCCATCGTTTATGAAAGCCCTCTTAGCGTGTGCCTGTTGAGCATGGCGGTCACATGTTTCTCGGATGCCAATAATGAGTATTTCTATCCGGCAACAATCGCAGGACTTTCCTACGAGCTTAACAGCTCCCCGAAGGGCGTGAGCATCAAAGTTCGAGGGTACAGTGAGCGGCAACAGGCCCTGCTCGAGAAAGTCTGCGAACGGCTCGTTGGCTTCAAGATCGATCCGAAAAGATTCGAGATTCTCAAAGAGGCTCTAGTTCGTCGCTTGAAGAATTTCCGCGCCGAACAGCCCTACCAGCACGCTATATACTACTCGAACATGGTTCTGACCGAGAAATATTGGAGTTACGAAGAGCAACTCGCCGCCATGGCAGATTGCACGGTGGAAAAATGCGATGAATTCCTTGGAAAATTCTTGCAACGGGTCTCAGTCGAGAGCCTCGTGTACGGCAACCTGCGCTCGGAGGAAGCGCACAACATGTCGAACGCGGTCCGACGCATCCTCAAGAGTAAGTTCTTCATTCGATGATAATGAGGTGCGACGTCTACTATATGTTATCGAATTCAAGGGGATTGTTCATGAAAGCATCGATAGAAGTCCTTATGCATTTCAGTTGGCGAGCTCTCATTCGACGAGACTCAGAACTTCCGCGAGCATAGGTTGAATGACGGCCAGGTCTACGAGTTCAATGCGACTAACGAAGTCCATCCAAACAACTCGGTCATGACGTTCTACCAAGTGGGCGCTCTGGATACAGAAGACATTCATCGTATCGCTCTCAATGAGCTCTTGTGTCAGATCCTCGAAGAGCCGTGTTACGACGTTCTACGGACGCAGGAACAGCTCGGCTATATTGTAACAGGAGGACCAAGACGTAGCCAAGGAACATATGGTGAGTGAGGGAGCTTCGTTGGGAATAAACAAGCTTGGAAGGGGGAGAGGTGGGGGATTGAAAGGTACATTGCTATTGACGGCTCAGCCGAATCTTCCTTGGTATCAAGAATCGCCGAATATCCATGATGCGTAGCTCTCGAGAAGTCATTGGCTGAAGGATCACTCTGAGCGTCATCCAGTTCTCATTTCCTCGTAGGCATACGCATCATAGTTCAGTCCGACAAGAATCCAACATTCGTATCGGAGCGTATCGAGGAGTTTGTCAATGGGAAGCTGAAAAAAATCTTGACCGAGATGAGCGACGAAGAGTTCGGAAAACACAAAAAAGCCCTCATCGCCCTGAAGCTTGAGAAACCGAAGCGATTGACGGAGAAGTTTGCTCAGTAAGTATGTGGGAGCTGCTTGCCACGCGGCTCTGATGGTCTCCGAGGCTATCGCACCGAATAGTAGCTGGAGCATATTGTTCTCTCGAGTATCGGGCCATTTACGTATTTGAGCAACTTCTACATTTTCCAGGATGTGGGGCGAGATCTCATCTCGTCAGTACATTTTCAATCGGAGGCAATTGGAGGCCGACGAGATCGGAAAGCTGACCAAGGACGAAGTAATCGATTTCTACACGCGACACGTCGCTCATGGAGGGTCCGCTCTTAAACAAATGATCGTCAAAATCGAGTCAGAGAGCAGGCCCGGCGATAGAACCAAGGGGGTGAAAGCGGACTATACAATCGATGACGTCACTAAATTCAAAGCTACCCACCCCTACATCGAACGACCGCTCCACCAACCGAAGCTCTGAGATCTCGAGCTCTCCTCCTGGAATAGGACCAGCCTCACCTCTTCTTCCTCTCCCGGGAGAAAGGAGGATCCGAGAGATCAACATCAATTCCAGGGAGCGCCTTGGCTCTACCGGGGTAGCGACCATGACCTCTATCGGAACAGAGCTAGCTGGCTCGGATATTTTGTTGGGTCAATTATAGCGAATCTGGATGATTGTTGTCACGGATTCGTAGCTCGCCTGATCGAATCTCTCACATGTGCGGTTCGCTCCAGCGTTCTACGGTGCAGTAAGATGGTCGCGAGGGAGTATATATACGATATATTCAATAAAGACGTCCATGCGATAAATCCCGGCTCATTCCACTCAGGAGCCCTCATTGATATTCCTGAATCTTCCCGAATGCTCCAATGGTTCATTGGTCTCTCTCTAAGATGTATGGTCTTCAAGACCGATCAGGTCTATAATCCGATCGGTGGACTCTCAGGACAGGTTTCCGCGTAGCAGATGGAAATAATATTCATGGGGGCATTGCATCTTGGGCGCAGACTCCGCTTTTACGGGCTGCGGGCCAAGCCCACGAGCAAGGAGCTCTCCAAAGAATTAAGGGTAGACGAGATGATGAGAATTCTCGCCCTCACGAGAGTTTTCTAGGGGTCGGAGAGTCGGTTCGGTCTGCTGTTTGTGGCGTGCTCGGTAGCCTACGATCGCCTGTGCCGGCGTACAATTTGGAGGGATTGAGTGATCATTTCGGGCGCCTTGGCAGAGATGTCCCGGTGGTCCGAAACTTTTTTCTCCAGGTCTCTGCCCTCGGAGCTTCCTATTGCGCATCCTCACGGCGAGCTGGCGACTCCTATCGGGGCTCCTGGATGAATCTCTATCATTCAAGATGGAACTTCGGAAGTCGAATGAGAAGCTCTCATAAGGAGCGATATCCCGGGAATCGAAAATCTCAAGCTGGCGCCGAAATCAGGCATCTCACTCAGGATGTATGTTCGGCATCTCTGAAAACCTCAGGTTCGAGCTTCGGGCGAACAGCATTCTCTCCGGCGCTCCTCGATATTCAAGAGAGACTCAGTCAGCCGAGCCGAAGTTTCTACTGCAAAGAAATCCCGCAGCGTGAGCTCCCGCTTCCATCCCCAAACACCGACACCCAGCCGGGACCCCTTATCGACGGGAGGTGTGGACATATGCCAATCAACTTCTGAGATGGCTGAGCGCGCTTGTATGTATACCCTGTGTTTGTGCGCCTGTTCACCTTTAGTCCGCGGATGATACAGTTGTGTGCATTCGACGGTTGATCCGAGGTGGACAAATTCCCATTCCTTGGAGGTTCTCCACCGGGTTTCGTCGGGATGATACCTCAGAGGCCAAATAGGTCGAGACTCATTCGAGGAAACAGCGTAGGATCACGCTTGATGGTCTCTACGATGAGAGGGATGAGACACCGTGGCCTAACCGTGTAAACGGGTGTTGGTGGGTGGGTGTTTGTGTGCGGCATTGTGTGTCTTTGTGTATGTGATAAAGCCACTAGCTATGAAAAGTGAGATAGTCAAAAATTATCGAGCTTCTTCGTGATTGCAGTGAGGACTCGAACAGAATCCCCGATTAATGTTTACTGTTTCTTTTTCTCGTTTTTCTGAAATCAGGAAGATGCCTCATGCACGCGCAGAACTGATTCCCGGTAGTGTGCGTGCAACAAGTCTCACTCCTGAAAAAATCACTCTTCTTCCGCTTCATTCCGAGACTTCTGCCATTCTTCGACGAAATCTTCTAATCGATAGTTCGTTATTTTGCTACAGGCCAATCACAATCATCACCTTAGGAGATGATTCCACACGAGGATAAGGGACGGAATCATCTCTCTAGAAAAAATGATCTGTGACTTTGGAATACTAAATGACGATTATCAGGCATGAATGAGCTGGTGAACGTTGCCCAAGCTCGAAAAGTCATCATGTATTTCTTCTCATTGGCTCTCGATCTGGTTATAGTAAATCCCAGCGGTGATCATTGCTTGTCCAAACCCACCCAAGTAGCCAAGGTAGGCGAAGCTTCCCAAGCTTGGACAATCTCGAATTCAATCTTAGCAGGTTTGACCTCTTGTCGAAGAATTAGCTGGTACTGTTTCGAGTCGGAATCCGTCCACTGCTACTCATGCGATTCAAGAAATTTCGATCGAGACGACCTTTCCGTATCCGATCTCATATCTGAATCGAAACCTGCGCATAGTATCATAGGATCTCGATCAGACGTATACTCGCGTGATAAAATATCCCGGTGATGAATGAAAAACGCAGTAATATCCGTGAGTGAACTCTCAGCGGATGTACGTATAGACTGTTACGCGCTAGACCCTTTCATCACTGATGAGAATTTCAGCGAAGAATATGTCTCCGCGTTGAGATCCAGGAAAAGAGGCGGAGGCAGAGATTCCGTATTACATTACATCCCCTCTATCCCCCCTATAGAATGAAAGCGCAAGCGCTTCGTCTTTGAGCCGTTTTTCGGCTCTTTCTCCCCACCAGTTTTCGCGCACATGTGCTTCGACGTTTGCGGAATCATACCCCGGTATGCACAAGTTGATGTTTTCTCTTTCATCTTCTACCCCTCGCCCAAGTCATTGTCGAAAAACTCTCCTTCTTGACCACGAAACTCATTTTGTACTATGCGGTACTGAGGTACGCTGTCCTCCTATTGTGGTTCGAAAGGCACGGATTTGATTCTTTAGAGCGGATATCGTTCTCTTTAGCCGCGCTCGACGGCTGGTGTTCTATGAATGCGACTCTACCCTGTCTCGAGAATCTTCTGTTCTGTGCCAGTGTAATGAATCCTCCGAGCTGGATAAATTCATCGTTCTGGATCCATTTTTCTCCCAAGCGTAATCTATGAGCATTCATAAGTTTTCGATCCGTCCCGGAATCCATAGAATGGCTTCTCAAACTTTGAACATCTTAAGTTCAGCGAGATGCTCCGAGATCAGTGGGTGCTCTCAGTAGGCCATGATCTGGTTGCGAACTCATATCACTTCTTCCGGGTTATTCCTTTTCTTATCTGCGAAATTTCGGTGGTAGCTGTACCGTTGGCATGTTCGAAATTGAAATGAGGTGTCGTGATTCTGATATATAATGACCAGCCGTGAGGGCGCTCCGCGCCAATCCTCATATTGCTGTATCTACAGGCATTCATAGGAATCTCCTCAAATTGTAAGTTATAGCTCCAAACTCCAATAATATAAGATCCCCTTTGTGAGCGGGGTAGGAATGCAATGCATCCGTCAAACGAAATCACTGTGATCCTTTCTTCCACTTATTGAAGGTTTATCGAAGGTTGATACATGGGGGTCCCGTCCGCAAGTCAAGCTGAGCTTTGCGTCGAGGCGGCGAAATTCCGACCTACCTTGAGCCAATGTTTTGGCCCCTGAGAATTCTGGCTTCTGCGATCTCTGTTTTTTGCGATTCTGGCTTGTGAGACGGTACCGTATCCGAGTCTCCTGATTTCACACACGACCCATGCGCGGTGATCCTTCAGGGAGAATCTCAATTACTGCCGGCATCGGTCATCTCAGCCCCACCAATCGACAGAGGGGGTCAATCCTAGAGTCGCTTGGCTCAATTAGGTCCCCATGGGACGAATTTGAAGTTCGACGAGGGATTCAGCCCCAGAGCCATGAAGAATCTGGGCCCTTGCCATTTTGAATTCATTTCGTTCAAGGGCCATCTCTTCGTTTTCGGCTCGCGGAAAACGGACGCGTGGAGATGAACGCTAGAACCACGCAAAAAGCTCACTTTGATTCGGAAACCTTGAATGGATAAATGGCGGAAAATTTCCTCGTGTCACCCGGAATATCCCGATATCCCAACTCTCGTCGGTGACTTCCCTCCATAGAATAATACGCCGGACTCGAACGATTACTGATTTCTTCCTCTCGAAGAACCTGGATCAATTTGGACTCTGGATGATCAAGTCAACGGGCCCGGGTGAGAGAAAACCTCGCGGAGGAACTACGAGGATCAACGGATCCGAGTCCGGAGAAACTGCGCTTAAAGTTCAGCGTTCTGCGACGTTTTACGACGTCACGACAAAATACCAAATATCATGACTTTCAATCATCTCAATTCACGCTCAGTCGAACCTCCAGGCGAGCTTTCTAGGAGACACTCATTGGAAGAAGGCTCCAGTGCCTCAGCTCGACAGCATCCATTGCTCAGATTTTGGCCCGAGCCGATTGGAACATCTACCGAGTTACGCGAGGCCATTCGCGAGCTCCAGAAAATTCAAAGAGAAACACGCCGATCATCGACCTCGCTCGCTCACCGGTAGTCCGAGAAAGATTCGACCCCTGCTTCGGCGACGCATCGTCACATCGGATTCCGATTGCATCCCCGTATGCGACTCACCTTCATGATACAACCAAAGATCAAGCTCGATATCTAACCCTGATGCCGGTTCAGCCGTTGTGTCGGAGGAGAGTCAACTTTTTTCCCCCGGCCTTGACTCTTAAAGAGCTTTGAACGAGCCTTCTTCTCTGACGTCTGGCAGTGCGATCGATTCGCTCATTGCTTCGAGCTGCAGCTGAACCGCGAGTTTTCTCCACGACTCGTCGCTTTACTTCGAAGCCGAAAAATCAAGTATTAGTCCCAAGCCTGAGTGCCGCTCGATTATCGATTTTGAGAGTATGATATGTCCTCCGCGCATGCAGCGGCCCGGAAGATGGCTCCATGCATGAACAGAGCGGATGCGACGATATTGGCAGCGTCATGGAACGGTTGAGCGGAAATCAGGAGTATTACACAATATGAGGAGCGGAGGGGGATTTCCTGAAGCAACTTCTGAGACGTCCACGAGAGTCGTCGAAGCTCACCAGCAAGCTGAGATCCCCGAGAAGAAGTCGGAAGCTGCGAGTGAGTGAAGATTCCTCTGGGCATTGTGGTACGGTACTATGCGGATACCTCCTTTCCAAGACGGATCTGCTGTTTTGCTGGAAGCGACGCTACGAATTTTCAGTTTCCAGCAGAACCTCGCAGAAGTTCCTCTGTCACGTGTCATTCAGAAGATGAAAACTCGGTGAGCTGGCTATAGTTCCGATTTCTCTATGACAGGGTGGGAAGTTACGGGTGTTTGTGCGAGACTCTCTGTTTTCTCGGGCTGCAGAAGCAAACAGATTGAGGCCACGAGGCTCCTTTGTGCACATGAATACCAGAGCTGATGCGGAACGGGTTTGATCATTGCGCAAGCGAAGCGGAGGAACTTGGAAAAGCAATTAAGAATCGAATCCCTTGATAAAATTATAGTTCCTTAATTTCGGACATCCGGGGTCTCCCACGTTTGAATGAGGATCAC